GAGAAATTTCAAATTGATTTATAAACTTTTCTGCACAATTATTTTATCCTCTTATTAAAAAACTGAAGCCATATAAATCGTTTTTCTGCATATTTTTCCCACAAGACAACTAATGATCATTCTCACATCCATTACTAAGCTAGGATCATGATGACCTGATAAAGGTAACAAAATATTGGCCGTTATCTCGGAATTGAAAGTCAGTTTAAGTGCTCGAAAATACGACAAGAAGAGATGAATAATAAACAATCAATTATTCGAGATACCATTTGAGTCATGGTCGTATTTCCAGTACCCACATACGAACTGTTATTCAGATAAGTTCTACTAACTCCAGCGGATCCCGACATAGAGGGCACTGTCCGGTGGGTCAGCGGTCCGACTGCACGGCTATATGCTTGATTTCCGTTCGATGCGGTGCCTACAGTTGACGATGGCGGTTGTGTGTAAGGTCGAGGTTGTTTTGGTCTCAATGATCTGAAACCAAAAAGGGAACATGGGTAAAACAAATCAAAAACTTCCAATTTTTTCATTAGTCGGTTTCTCTGCACACCTATGCCTAAGATAAAGCTTGGAAAATGGAGAATACATAGCAAGAGAAATCAGACTAAGAACTCCAGCTCAAGATATGCCATATTATTTGTTGAAGGTGACCGAATTACTGATTAATTGATACCTTAACAAATCATGAATTTGGCAAGTGTAGAATAGATAAACCTTCAAAAGTGTACAGCAACTAATCCCGTCCGCTCACCCCGAACATTATTCTCGAATTCATACTACTTATTTTGGAACTACCAATTCAATATACCGAAATACGAACGACCACGCAACTTACCCATCGAATCCCATTTCTAAGTTGAAATTGTTCAAGTAACGAATCACCTCAGCACTACTCTGAAAGGCTTTTTACAAGAATCACTTCACAATACGTATGGCGACCTATTTTCGAAGGTGAAAGTCTCGGAATTTCCACAGGGTGCACAATATGTATTTACGAATGAAAGAGAAGAAGTATGGTTGCGCTGTCAACGACGCTTATTCAAAACACATATAATATCGACTAAGGAATAGTCAGTATCGACCAGTTCAGAGAGGTCTCAGTATGCGACAAACCGACCAAACACAAACCACTCCTCATAACCAATGAAAAAAAACAGGACCGAGCCAAGCGTTTGCGTATTTTATGGTTATGCAAATACTGTTCTCAAGAGGAAAGACAAAAAGGCATTTGTGATGATCCGGAACTTTCGTGGCTTTTTGTTTTGGGCTGTACCTCAAGACTGAAGTTTTGACAGGCTGGAATGTACTACTGGTGTTTTGAGGTAACGAATGAGCAAATTGGCATCATATCACAACAACAGACACATTCATGTATGGTACAGTTTGTAAACTCACTTCTCTCCATTTTGTTTCATTCTTATTTACTAATCTTATCCCAGCAACTCTGATTGTATTAGAACATGTTCTGATCTAATACAACGAAATAACACTTTAGGGAAAACTGATGCTCTACTACTACTGGAAACTACTATTAAAACATAGGGAGCGGTTTGAGGAATATATCATCGTTTTGACTTAAAACTATGGCGCTTGAAAAATCATTGGATAAATTAATTCAAACCCAAATTAAAGTTTTATATTTAGGTTTCACCGGAGCTTTTTGTCTTTGTTAAACCTCTGTTTGAAAATTTCACCTATAAGATTAAACTTTGAGTCTACTATGTCAAGTCTGCAATGAATGGATCGCTGACTAGCATGGTTTCTTGTACCGATTGCTTAAGAAGCGTTTATTAAACAAACAATCGCAAAGAATCGGAAAGAACTGTTGCACATTTAGTTCATTGGCATTGTGACTTCTAACATTTGTCAAAGTTCGGCTTTTCAGTATTAGGTTTTCTTTCTTTTTTTCAGCATTAGGTTTTGGTATTATGTTATGCTTCCTAAACAGTTTTTGTTATTTCAATTATCTCAAGAATTCGAAATCGAGCTTAGGTTAGCTTAGAGCTTGGATTAACCATTGCATCAATACACACGCAGTTGCGTTTATAAGTGGTACGAAAAGTAAAAAGATCAGTATTCCACCAGATTTTAATATCAAAGATCAGTATTCTATGAGATTTTAATATCTATCCTGGCACCCATCCAAGCATGCTAGTTAAGTGAACTAATATCCTCTGAGCGTTGATCGGGTCTATAGTGTCGTCACTTGTTCTGATCAGATTATCTGTTTGACATCTCATCCTTCCCTGCTTTACTTTGGTTTTTCCGTATACTAGAGTACTTGCTTGGATTTCCCAACAGATAATTAGCGATTTCAAAATTCATGAAAAGCGCTAAAGGCTATAGAAACTTGCAGCACGTGGTAGAACTCAAAATTGGTTAATGTACCATTAAGAGAAATCTATTACTAGTATTTCTCATAACTAAAATCTTCTAGGATGTACTTTGTAATTTGCATTTGGACAAAAAAGTTGTTTAAAATTAAGTATTCAGGATGTCAAAATATATCCCTGTTCCACACTGTTTTTTTTTCTAGTTTTAGAATGAAGAGTTAAAATTAACAGTGGAACAGAAGTATAACTTGAGCAATGACAAGGCAAAAAATTCGCTACATCGAAAACAACAGACTATATCAGATGTGCAGACATAATATCGATGGCTACCCATATATAGTTGCAAACTGATGGAGCTTACAATCATTTTCTTGTTGTCAACAAACACCTGGATGAGCCGCCAATTAATCGTGATCTGGATGCTGTTCATTGTCTCCCTTCTTTTAATTTTTGTTGGAAATAGGCGAAGTGAGTTACAATTTAATTGAAGATTATAATTGCAGGAAACTAAAACTATGAATTCCTCACCTGTAATTTACGTTTCCTTTGTTCAACCAGTATAAAATTCAAATTAGTTTGGAATATTGCACAACACTTCAGAGTGAACCCAAATCAATGTATGGCAGAGTGTGATAAATGCTTTTCATAACAACTTTCTGCGCTATAAAATTTGCGCATACATGTGTGGAAAATAGAACTAAATTGTTCGAAATTACGACTTATCCAACTCTTTTTATACTTATGTACAATAATTTACTATGATATCAATCCCATTACCATTTATTATATATATCATGTCGTATATCGAATATCTGAAAAAATTATTTTTGCTTCAAATATATAAAAATAAAAGGCTCAATGATTGCATTGTAAGCTTTCTATTTTGACAGTGACTGTTTTGTGCACCTGCATGGATCTCGCACCACCTAATCAGCCATCTTCATGTTCACAACATGCACATTATTGCAATAACTCTTTGTATTATGAGCTAATGACAAAGCAATGTCCAAAAACATGTGGTCGATGTTCGGAAAATGCCACTTCGAGTAAGAATTTCTGCATGTTTAATGAATTCCACCTTTAAATCAAAAAAGCGGTCTGCAGCATGTCCAGAGATCGCAGATCCTTTACAATCTGATTTTCTAAGCCAAAAATGTCACCATAATTTCGATTTAATCAGAAAATTAACTTTATATGCAAGCATTTTAGGTGTGTGCCAGGATAAGGCGTTACCCAATGCACCGTCCCAGTGTCCCGACTTGGTTCATCTGTGCAATAATCCATTATACCGGGATTTGATGACCCAACAATGCCCGAAGACCTGTTGTCGTTGCTGAATCATGTACTGCGTAGAAACGATAAATATAGCAATCGTTCTATGTTCATTCGCTATGCAAAGTTTTTAACTGTTGTTTATTAAAAGATCAGTAACACCATGATATTATTGCAGTATACTATTGAAAAAAAAAGAGAAAAAAAACTTGAGGTGATTCAGCACATGAAAATTCAGGAAGACATAAATAATACTGTAAACAATGTCAGTTATTCGTTAAACTCTTCTTGCAATTTTTTTTCTTGTAAAATTAGTGTTAACACTATTTCAACTGTTAAAGTAGACATATAACCGCTAGCTCATTGAATACGGTTTTTATTCGAAAACGAGAGATAATTATTGAGAATTATGGAGAGGAATGAAGATTGTATATTGATATTGATATTCAAAGGATATGCTAGGAGACAGTTCAGAAATGCTACTCAACTTTTAACAAATATGTTAAAATTGAAAGTGCTCTATACTAAGTATTTGGAACTGTAAATGTTTGACAGTAGAAGTTTTTTCAAAATCTTATTTGATTTCTTTATAGGTCAAGATATAAAAAAATCTTCTTAGCTGAAACGTTGGTAACTTATCTTCATGTGTTTTTTTTTAACTTAAAAATTTCACACTTAGGAAAGAGTTTCATGCTCCGAATTCCAATATCTTTGTACAGTCCATTGCATTATGATCTGTTGACCAAATAATATCCTAATATTTGCGCAGGATACTGTCCTTTCCCTTAAATTAATATCAGCCCAAAACTACTGAAATGTAGTTAATTCCTTGAACGAAAGGCTTCCCCTGGCACTTTATACGCCATGAAATTTAATCTAAGCAGTATTCAAGGTACTAGGCCTTATTCAAATTATGGCATTTACAATCCGTTTAAATATTATTCCATGATGCTCTACCGGCAGCTACAATGTTCTTTTACAGAGGTTAGATTGGTGAAGGAAAGAAGTGATAAGACTAGGGCGTTAATATTCTTTGTAAAATCTATGATTAATATCGGCGTTATTCTAATCTTTTCGCCAATTTTGATTACTAGAATACTTTGTAAACCAAATCGGAATTGAAAATTTCTTTTGAAATCTTCAAATCATGGAGTGAAAGCTGAGTTAGCATACGAACTTTTGGTTGGAAGACTTCAAAGAACGGGTGATTTTCTTGAAGGAATTTTGACAAATATGGTTAATTTGCTAGGAAATGTGTTCCCATCACTTTGAATTAATTTCATGGTATGAGTGCTTCGTACAATTGAGTTTTGCAAACTGTAATTTTAGTTGTCCTTTTCTCCGAGCATTACTCCAACAATTACATACTATCCTAATGCTGTCGCAAAAAAAATTAACACTTCTCACCATCAATTTTTGTTTTCGTTTTCTTAATTTTATGCATTAATTCGAAAATTAAAGATGCAGTGATGAGAATTCCTGAACTTATTTTTAGAAATCGATCAGTTTTCTCTCAAACAACTTATTTCTTGATCATTTGCTAGTCACCGGGATATTTTACAAAGCGGGAAATCAAAAGACTTGCATGAAAAAATTCTCTTCGTATATGCTTTAATTAATTTTTTCAACTTACTATATATCGCTCGAAGAATTTATGAATCTCACAAAAATTCTAAACTTCTAGAGCTTCAAAAATTCGACTTCTTTTGTTTACAGATTACATTTACATAATCTAATAGTCTCAAAAAAAATGTCTTTAACAAACTATTAGATCAATCTCATTTGTGATATCTCAGTAGTATCACAATTGTTAACTTCCTTGGCTATTGATTATCACTAATCAATGCATTATCACTGATCACAGAGTCAAAGAATAAGCAATGTATTCTCTTTGTATATACAAGTTTAGTGATAGAATAAAAACAAAACAAAGAGTGATATCTCTGTATTTCGATGTTGGAATGTTGAACGCATTTAGTATTGTATCGACTAAAATGAATAAGTGAGTAAATAAGTGAAACATAAGTTTATTTGATGGATGCCCGATATTATCATAGACTAAATCTATACTATCGATAAGTAGGTAAGCTATGCTGAACAAAAAGTAAAGAGGATGTCTAATGCAGAATGGCACCCAACAAAATACTGTCCATAAGTGAAGTGAAAAGATAAATAGCTTAGGATGAATAAATATACTTTGATTACAGTAGTAAGCGATGATGTCAAGAAGAACATAGGAATACCCGACTGCTCAACTTGGAATTTGTACTATACATGCTTTATGCTAATCATTTTATGTTATCTGATGGATGAAGATAAGTGTTTCTCATGAAAATTAATGGAAGAGTTGATTCCTTTTTCATTTTGAGTAAAATATCTTTGCAGTCATTGGTATTCCTTGCAGATTTTCTTGCTTTATTTTTTGCACCTTTTAAAAATTGCCTGGGGTACAGTTATAAAAATTATTGTTGGCTAAAGATTCAGCAGATCGAATCAACGGTTGTCGTAGTCGTACCTCAATTGTTGGTGCCAGCAACGATACCAGATATGCTTGCGTTCGTCTAAAATTGAAAGCAACTGAAGTAGAAGCTAGTAATTGATTCAATCATTAAATTTGGCGATAAATTTCGGGAAAATTTCGTGGTCTTTTAAAAAATCTTCTTATCAAAACTTCAAATGAATATTAACTCTTCAAATCAGGCTTATTTCTGACTAATTCAAGGAAAAAAAATATCAGTAGGACATCCTTCGAAATATTTCTAACTCATTCATCCAACCACCCCGGAATACTTAAATGTTGAAGGTTCTACATACCCACTAGCTAGCATGACATTGCCGAAAGATTGAGGAAATCCCAACTTTTCCTTGTTAGTATTCTTGACCAAATGTTGACAACCTTCCTCAATGGAACTCACTAACGACGAGAGTTCTATTGAAGATCGATGTCGACACTCTGTGCTACCACGTGAAGGACAATTCATAAGGTTGTTGTTCATGCAGAAGTTAACATGTAATACTCCGACTGGATGAAATGAGTCTTTCGATACACCAAATAATGTGTTAGTGTTGATATCAGGAGATCGCAGCTATAATGCAAGGAATCATCTATGCAATGAATAGTTTGAAATATACATTAAATGCAAACATTTGGAGAGATGGACTGGAAGTTTATGCAGAAAAATTATCAAAAAACTAAATTATTTTACAATAATTTGTGGAGATGAGATTACATTTGGAAGGAAAAAGAATCAATGACAGAATAAATGTTTTCCTCATTCCTCCTCTGTCATTAATCTGATATAAGCTTTTTCTTTGCTTAATCATGTCTATAGAATGAATCTATCATATTTCATTTTCTTTCTCTTTATAAATCCTTCATTTGTACAATGGAATTGTCAACTGTATCAACAACGCCTTTACATACTTTCACTAAAACCAACAAACGATATGTTTGGACTGTTCTTTGGAAAGCACTTCAGTGATGCAAGTTCAAAACAATCTCCGACCTATTTTTTCTTTTAAAGAGATGCAAGTTCTTTAAGGTATAAAAGTAAATTTTAGACATTCTTCACCTTCAAATTTACTTTACCATCAGCAATCAAATGTGAATAGAAAACATCTGCCTCGCCAATGACATCACCGTTTGCGGCGTTTCGGAGCGTAAAATAAATGACCCTGAAGGTTAATTATTTGACTTCCCTTTATATATGTGTGCTAATTTTATCAATCATTCGTTTTATAATATAACTATCCGGAAAAAGAATTCTCATTCGGCATGAATATAATGGATATTTGGATGGATCATCATAGGGTCATGCCATCACCTTTCGAAACCGAAATTCAGTGACAAAGGTTGATAAATAATTCTGAGAAATATCAAATAATTCAGAAAATACATTTCCATGCAATCATTAAAGAGCATATTGCTGAATATCTATGTGTTTTACTTGCAAAATAATTACTAAGTGTAAATGAATTATAAAAGAGTTAAAAAAGGAATAAATCGTTTACTTGTCTTCAGTCCCACCCAATAATTTTTCACATGGAATAACGATTTCCGGAAATTTTTGCAAACTTGTTGAGGTGATTTCCAGTGTTTTTGGAGATCGATAAACAATGATGTAGTTGTCTTTCAAACTTTTCCTAAACCAAATAAGATGCTTAAAAAGGCAATTTAACCAAGGGAGAAGCCATAATCTTGACAAAAGAAATGAGTTTTTCCCATTCTGAATGGTCAATAAAAAGTGTAACTCCAGTGAAAAAGAAATTGTTCGGTTAAGTTAGAAATAACAGACTAATTCGAAAAAAATTATTAGAATTCATCAAAACTGTGCTTCCATTTCAGTAAGCAATTAAGACTGGAAATTTGTAAAATTGCCTACCTGTAAATAGCAAGGTAGGTTTCCAAGTCAGTATATTTCATTTTACCCCGCTTTTCCAATTGTGAAATGGAAACATCCATTCGAATTTGCTTTTCAGAAAAGATACGGTCTATATATACTCGTTCCGATATCACTAAATATTTTGAAAATAAAGCTGAAAATAGCGGGCTGAAACGAAAAATTACCGGTTCAACTGGAGGTATCACTTTTCCGGCAAAAGCAGAGAAGGGGTAAATGTTGAGAAAAAAATTTGAAGAAAATACGAACATACAGTAAACAAATATAAATGATTTAAAAATAAAATGTAATACCAGTGAATCTGCCGGATGACCCCTCCCGGATTCTCCCATCTTCCTCCTCTGACAGTCGCCCACGGTGTACCAATGCATTCAGCTCACACTCCAGAGAATCAACAGAATCCCAGAATAAAACTTCATGGGAATTACGAAAACGTACGATGGTATCTGAATTTCGTCTATAATCTGAACCAACTGATGACGACATTGGTTTCTCAGCACAGAGTCTGCAGAAAAAGAAAGCAATACGAAAAGATCACTTTAAAGATACAGTTCCTAAAATTTTCACAAACAACTTTACAGTTTGAGGAATTATATAATTTACCGCTAAGTAAGCATCATTCCAGTATATCTCTCCAGCAGTGTGCCTCAGAAATCTCGAAAGGAATCTGGAGTAGGAAAAAAGATCATCTATTTTCGGGACATTGCTACGCACTCATATGGGAAAGGATCAAAAAGCAGAAACCATTTAAGGGAAACTGATTGAACTGATAAAAATCCTTCCTAAAATTACAAATTATCATTTAATAGAGAATAAAGTTGGCTGTTTTCAAACGAGCACAAGCAGGAGGAGAATGTGATGTTCACTTAAACTTAGAACGAAAGGCAAATTTAGTGCTGGTAGCCGGATTTCTTCCGTATTTCAATACATAGTATGCAGGAATTGTTGAGACGGGAAATGCAACGCAGGTCAATAAAATCTGTGGCCTTGTAAAAACAACCTAAGTTAGATTTGGTCAAGAATCCTAAAAACTTATTTCTTCGACTACAAAAAAAAAGAAAAGAAAAAAAACTGTAACATGAGACAGGAGATGATCATTTAAATTGTCCCGATAAAAATTATTAAACAATAGTTTTAACCATAAGCAAACTGATAAAATAAATAAAACGATCATAAAGAACAAGTTAAAAATGTGCAAAAAAACTTAATTGTATCATATCATATTTAGCAAAACCATTCTAAAGCATTCGTTTGGAATTCAATCGAAAGATTATTACCTTTTATCTGTCTCATTATTTTTCTTACTGCTCTTATTAACTTAATTGTGGAGTAATTGAATGTAAGGTAAACTGTTCATTAAAATCAAAAAAAGACTAATGAAAAACTTCACTAAATTGTCATTGTCTTCTTTGACGCAAATACAACAAAGGGAGTGAAACAAAGTGCAGAAATTTTTTTGACAATAACAATTTTAGTAAAATCGGATTTGAAAAGATATATCATTCGTTTCCTGTCGAGAAATGAAAAAATGAGCTAAAACTTTAGGAAGTGTGGATGTGAAGAGAAGAATGCGAACATTTTAGCACAGCAATACCATTGAAAGTTAATTAAAAGTAATGCGCTAGTTGTATTCATAGAATTAGAAGCATTCTTGCATAGCTTTTTTTAATTTATTTCACTTTTTTATTCAATATCAGTTCAAATTATTTTGAATTTTTATTCATTTATATATGGGAACAACAAGAAATACCGTACAAAACGAGATTTTTTCATCAGTCACACATCAATTTTTTTTAAAAAATTAAAAATGATTATCATTGCGTAATTCGAGTGGGTGACATTGGACACGAGAGGTGTATGGCGAACAAAAGAAATATGTAAATTTTTCAATTAAAACATTTTCATCATTAATAATCGGTACGGTTATTAAAAAAGAACTTTTAAAAATCAAAGAAGTTCATCAGTCCTCTTCTGCTCAGCTTTTAGTCTTTTGCAGATTACTCATTTTGCATCACTTTCAACAATTTAAAAATGAGGTACTTAATCGAACTAGTGATCTGAATAGATGAATGAACCTTGTGAAAAATGACCCCTTTCCATTTACTACCTCCTCTATTTACCAATGAATCATAACGCATTAATTTTAGAAAGGTAAGTTCATCAATGTTGATTATAAGGTGATATTTGTCAAGGATTTGTAGAAAATTAAGATTGCAAACAGTACTGCAATTCCGCATTGATTATATTTCGTTTACAAAGATGGAATTAGTCCTTTTACTTCCAATTGTACAATTATAACTCCGTTTTTTGATCTAATTCTCATAGTTTCTAATTTACCGATCATTGTACCATCCCTGAATCTCTGTAGTAAAAATCTCGTACACTCTTATCTTAAGTTTCCCATATCATTTCTTTTTAATGTCTAATTCTATTTAAATTTACACATGAAAGAAACTTCATATTTTTGTGTATTTTTCAAATTTATAGCAGCTTGAAAATTTTGAGGTAATAACAATATCATAGAGTGAAAAGTAGGTAGTAAATATTGAAGACAGCTAGAATAACTAGAAGCTATGTCTCTTATTGATAGTATTGGTCAACTACCCTTCACCATAATCTATTTCGAAAAATTTTCAATACACTGTTTGGAATGTCACTTATTATTGGTATATCAGTGCTAAGTTTATTCCTCTGGTTAAGTTCTAATTTGATGCGTTGACAGGAATGAAGTTGACAGAAACCAGAACGATTAACGATTTTTTTATACTTTTTTAGTACTGAACTCTAAAAAACTGCCATGATGCCTTTTAGTGCTGCATAATGTACAAGAACTATCTCTCACAAATTTCGACAATATTGTATCTAAATAATTATTCTCATTTTCAAACTTTAGAGGGATCAGGTATACAAGATCATAACCGGAAATCTAATCAATTCCGGTGTTTCCCAGATAGTGAATTTAATACTATTAAAATTTATATTGTTCATTTTCAATAGAGATTTTATGAATTAAATGAGAAAGCATACAGTTCAAAACGAATTGTGACGTCATCATCGTAGTTGTGAAGGATTGGTACTGAATTAACAAATTCGATCAGTTCGCTTCGTCGACCGGTTGTCGCCACGCTTTCTGTGCTTCCGAATGTAGAACTACCAGGAACCTGATTATCTCCGCTTAAACATCCCTTAATTGCTGTCCACTTACAATAATACAATTTGTTGAATGTTTTCTGAAATTTGATTGGTTAGAATTTTGAAAATTTCAGTTTTCAAAGGCTTTTGAAATATTACTCGTCACATCTTAATTCAGTAAAAGTGAATTTCACAACTCTCTAAAGTGATGAATTTATATCTGCATGAAATGACGAATGAATTAATCGATATAATTTTAAGAAATTCCTTGAAATCGGCTGTTAGATAATTTAAATTAATTAATCAGACATAACAGTGCAGAGTAGGCATACATCTTCAATTCTATTATTAGGAAAGCGAGAAAATATTTAACTGATAAAAGCAACTGAATTCCAACTAATTAATAAAGGCAAACCAGTGCTTTTCGTTGGGGATTGAGGACATCTAACAATATCATCATTATGAGATCTTCAAGATGGATTACCGAATATTAAAACTTATAACAATGTCAAGCAATTAGGTAAAGAAGCAGGTGTACTTTTATTAGTTGGACATAAAACGGAATGAGTCATATCTTGAACGATATAATTTGCTTCCAGCCAGTGCTGTAATTGTCACCTATGAATAGTTTATAGTTTTCCGAACGTTGGAACCGAATAAATCTTAGATATCCAGTTCTCTTACCTCTCGTCAGAGAAAAGCTAGTTTTCTCGGAGATTTATTTGCAACGAATGACTTGGACGAATATCCCAGATAAGATAATATTGGAGTATGGAATTCCAGTTATTCTCATTTTCAATAACTTCCTATCTTTTAAAGTAGGTGAAGAATGATTACCTTGAAATAGCTTCCGTGGAATTGATAACCAATGTGAAGGTTGTACTCATTTACCGTATCCATTCGATCTTCACCACTACAAGGATCATCCGTTTGCAGCCATTTTTTCATCGCCGACATCGTTCAATTTTGATTGAAAAATATAAGCTGAGGAGGACTGAGGTAAAATTTAGATGTGTACAAATGGAGGGATGGTATGTTTCATCATTTACCGCACTAAACATATGGAGAACATATTATTATGATTAAAGAGAAGGAAAGCTCCGACTACTTCTGCTACATTTCAGCTCATTTTTTTTTCTTCTTCCTCCTCTTTCTAATTAGAATAAATTTATAGATCAATTCACACAACTAATACTCTTTACAAATACCACTTTTTTTGTCAACACAAACGAACAAAACACTTCCCATATACGCTTTGTCATACCTGATGACATGCACGATCGTGTTTATTATTAGTTTTTTGGTTTATGAAAAAGGTCTCATTTGAATTATTGAAATCTAAGCACAGATCAAAAATAATTCTTGGTGTTAGCATTTCTTCTTATTCATTTAATAGTTTTTTATTCTCAGAAATTACTTAAAATTACGATGAATAAGACAAACATCGCCTGCAATTACTCTTTGCGCAAAGCAATTTTTATCGTTTCAAAATATGTGTTTCGGCATTATGGATGAATGACTTTAGATGCATTGGGATAAATTCGAATCGGACCGCATGATAAAATGAATGAAGAAAAAGGGTTAGATGTTGAATGAAATTTATTCGATGAACATGAAAGGCAGACTTTTCGAATCATCATCTGATTTTAAAATGCTATCACTTGCCGTTCCTGTGACAAACAATTAAAACTAGGCCTTATTCATTATCACTTCTTAAGTTTCACCTCCATATTTTGATTGAACTTCAATTTAATAAAATCTAATTAAAAGAAACAATTTCAACGTAAAAATAGCGCCGCTTAAATTGATTTCATTTGCAGCAAATTCTCAAGTTTCCTTCGTTCTTTACTGTTCGTTGGGAACATTTAAGGAAATAAGCAAAAACTTTAGCGAAGTTTAATCAACTTTTTGGAGGCTTCCTTTTTTTTAGCAAAAGAGGAAAAAGGAACTTCGAAGGTTACGTGATGTTAATGAGGCTCTTCAAGTCTTTTCCTTTCTTCTCACAGTCAAAGGTCAAAAAAGGAGGACAAAGGGAAGGAGTGACAGTAAAGGAAATAAAATGGTTCCCGAAGTTTGGCAGTTGTAAATGCATGATTTTGGGGAAAAAATTAAGCTATCGTGTTTCCGCGAAAACAAATCATCTCCTGAAAATAGGTCGTAGTGATATTTTCAGGGAAGGGCTTATTATAAGCTCTCTTCTGAAAATAAAACCTAACTCGGTCTTGTCGCAGCTACAGGCAGTACCAGTACCGGCGTTTCCTATAACGCACCAAGCCCTGGTGAGGCCTAGGGCCAGCCTCATCCTTTGCTAGGCACTGCCTGGTCTCTTCTGCGCTCAGTGTGCTGCAGGGGACACAGGGTGGGTGCGCTGAGCCTCCGGATTCCTCTCCGATGTTTCTCGACGCGACGCCTGGTCTCCTTTCGTGTTAAAACGGAAAATGAGTGGTACCATGTTTCCCGAAAAGAAGACATCCCTTTCAAATAAGCCCTATCATGTTTTCCTTTTCTTTTTTTTTAGTGAAGCGAATAATATAAAATCCTGACTTATTTCTTGGGAAACATGGTGTGCTTATTACCTTTATGTTCAATAGGGACAAATTATTTGGAATGGCTTAAGGACTTTGACTAAAGCCTTAAAATAATTTATAAATACATTCATTCCTTTTGTGCCTCTGTGCTTCTTAAAAATTAGATGTACGAACGATGCAATAAGTAGAAATATGCCTAAGAAAGGAAAGAATAAAAGGGTAAGTGAAAATTAAGTAGAAGTGGGACAAATCCGTACTCAAAAGAGAAAATGACCATGAAGATGACAATGGACAATCAATGAAATAAATGGTCTTTCATGAAATCCTCCTCATTGGCTACTTCAACATTTTAAGAATCAACTGTACTGGAGAGAAATTTTATGCCAACGTAAATTTCAAACTAGAACTTGCTTCTAGTCATTGTCATCCAATGGAAAACCAGCTTACTGTTATTCATTAACTGTTATTAAATGGTAATTTAATTAAATAACTCGTCTGTTTTTAATAGACAAAGGTGCATATCGAAAGTTTCGAAATCAGGTTGACAGCTTAAAATTTAAGCAATAGAAAAATAGACGAAGAATGAGGAAATATTTCTTCGAAATTACTTATCGTAACAAGATGGAATCTGAATGCTATATTTAAAGCTCAATTTATAAGAATGAAACAAATTTATTCCTTGCATACACATGTTTTGTAAGCAAATTGCAATTGATGGAAAAAACATTATGAAAAACTGTTTGTAAGTGAATTAAAAAATATTTAATTTCGTTTAATAGGAATCAATCAAAGCAAAATTGTCATAAAGTGAATGACTTTACTTCTTCATTAAAAAAGAAGCAACAGAAAATATGCCTTAATTTACATGGTTCTTTTATCCTAAAATAAGAACCTGTTCTACTTAATGACTGGTGGAAAAACTTGAACGTTAAAGTCGCAATTTACCTATGTTAACAAAATAAAGTTGCAATTGAGGCCAAATTTGAAGTTGAACTAAAAAGCTGAAAATACTGGTAAAAAATAATGTTTATGTGGCAGAAATATTTCGGCAACTTCTTTCCACGCACTGTGATACAACGCATACCTGAACCTGAGAGAATATTTGGGAGAACCTGAGAGAACAACGCATACCTGAACCTGAGAGAATATTTGGGAGAACCTGAGAGAACAACGCATACCTGAACCTGAGAGAATATTTGGGAGAACCTGAGAGAACAACGCATACCTGAACCTGAGAGAATATTTGGGAGAACCTGAGAGAACAAC